CCGCCCCCCTCCCCCTATTACTTCGACACCGGCCCCCCTCCCTCCTTCTCACCGCCGCCGCCACCGGGCCGGGCCTACGACACCATCAGGTCCAGCTTTAAGCCGGGCTTAGAAGCCAAACTGCACGGGCTGCCGCAGGTGCTGAGCGCGGCCGAGATGTACGACCAGGCCAGGGGCTCCATGCCCTACCCCGAGCGGCAGAAGAGGGCCCGCTCCATGATAATCCTGCAGGATTCCTCCCACCTCCCCGTGGAACCCACCGAGATCCCGCGGCCCGGCCCGGCGGTGACGCCTCCGGAGAAGCTCAAGAGGAAGGGCCGGGTCATCGACAACCCCTACGCCAACATGGGCCAGTTCAACGTGAGCCTCTTCGCCCCCACCAAGCCGCAGAGGAAGAAGAGCCCCCTGGTCAAGCAGCTCCAGGTGGAGGACGCCCAGGAACGGGCGGCCTTGGCCATCACCGGCGGCTACTCCTCCCGGGAGCCGTCCCCCACGCGCCGGAGCCACCGCCTGGACTACCAGCACCACCCCGGCATCGCTCAGGTGGAAGCCGCCGGCCTCCCCTTCGCCACCGCCATCGCCGCCGGCGTCATGAAGGACCGGGACCGGCGGCTGGATGAGAGGAGGAAATCCACGGTGTTCCTGTCGGTGGGAGCCATCGAGGGGCCGGCGCCGGGCGGCAGCGAGATGCCGTCGCTGCAGCAGTCGCGCTCCATCGACGAGCGGCTCCTGGGCAGCCGGGATGTCCTCCTGCCGTCCCCCGTGTCAGCTTTAAAGCCATTAATCAGCAGCTCCTCCTCGACCTTCATCCACCCCCTGACGGGAAAGCCCCTGGATCCCAACTCGCCCCTGGCGCTGGCGCTGGCCGCAAGGGAACGGGCGCTGTCCACTCAAGTCTCATCCCGGTCGCCCACCCCGATCCACAGCCCCGACTCGGACAGAGCCGCGCCCCTGTTTGTGGACATCCAAACCAAAGAACCGGACAGGGGGGACTTGGAGAGCTTGGTGTCCCCCGCCTACTCCCCCGGAGGGAAGGCGGTGATGGCGGCCGACGCCGGCGCTCTGACCCCCACCAAGAGCCCCTGGGGGACTCCGACCACCCTGCGGAAGGAGCCCGAGGTGAGACCGGAGACGCCAGGCAAGGAGGAGAAGAAACCCGAGGACAAGAAGTCCATGATCATCAGCATCGTGGACACGTCGCAGCAGAAGACCGCTGGCCTCATCATGGTCCACGCCACCAGTAATGGTCAAGACGAGATAGGCCTGGAGATCAAAGAGGAGAGCCCGGCTGTGCCCGAGGTCTGCGCCGAGCCGGCCGAGTCCCCCAAGGCCGAGCCCCAGCCCAGCCCCGTGGGGAAGCCGCCGGCCAGCCCGGCCTCGGAGAAGGCGCTGGGCCAGGGCAGCTCGGAGGAGGAGGTGGAGCCCTACACGGTGACCCTCCCACCAGCCCAGCTGTCCTCCAGTGACGAGGAGACCCGCGAGGAGCTGGCCAAGATCGGGCTGGTGCCGCCCCCAGATGAATTCGCCAACGGGGTGCTGGTGACCACCCCCGGCACCCCCGTGAGCCACCTGGCCACGCCCAGCACGCCGTCCCTGCCAGCGACAGCAGTAGCACCTTCTCCCCCCGGCGCGACACCCTCAGGGAAGCCCTCGGACACCCCCGCGGCCCCAGAGTCGGCGGCGGACTCGGGAGTGGAAGAGGTGGACACCAGGAGCTCCAGCGACCACCACCTGGAGACCACGAGCACCATCTCCACGGTCTCCAGCATGTCCACGCTGTCCTCGGAGAGCGGCGAGCCCACCGACACCTACACGTCCTTCGCCGACGGCCAAACTTTTCTACTCGAGAAGCCACCAGTGCCTCCAAAGCCCAAACTCAAGTCCCAGCTCAGCAAGGGGCCGGTTACTTTCAGGGACCCACTTTTGAAGCAGTCTTCGGACAGCGAGCTCATCTCCCAGCACCACGCGGCCACGCTGGCGGCCACCAGCGCGGCCCGGCCACGCTACCTCTTTCAGAGAAGGTCCAAGCTATGGGGGGACCCCATGGAGAGCAGGCCCGGCCACGGGGCCGAAGAGGACAAACCAACTGTGATCAGCGAGCTGAGCTCCCGCCTCCAGCAGCTCAACAAGGACACGCGCTCCTTGGGCGAGGAACCGGCCGGCTCCGCCCTGGATCCCGGCAAGAAGTCGCCGGTGGTGGCCGCACGGTAAGAGCCGGGCGTGGCCGGGGTGGGGACGGGGCGGGTGGCGCTGCTGAGGAGCCGGATGTGGCTTTGAGGGACATCTCGGAGCTTTGGGAGCTCAGCGGAGGAGCCGGAATGTGCGAGGGAGTTGAGGGACGGGCTCCCGGCGCGCCGTGGCTGTGGCTGCTCCCCTCGCTCCGCCCTTCCCGCTGCTCCGTGTCCGCCCCTCCCCGTGGTGACAGTGATGATGCTGTGGTGACAATGGCGATGGTGAGGTGGCAGTGGTGATGCCGTGGTGACAATGACGATGTGACAGAGACAATGCTGTGGTGACAATGGCAATGTGGTGACAATGGCAATGGTGAGGTGGCAGTGGTGATGCCGTGATGACAATGATGATGTGACAATGACAATGTTGTGGTGACAATGACAATGTGGTGACAGTGGGGATACTGTGGTGACAATGACAATGTCATGACGATGATGCTGTGGTGACAGTGATGATGTCGTGACAGTGACGATGCTGTGGTGACCATGACGATGCTGTGGTGACGATGCTGTGGTGACAACGATGATGCCATGGTGACACTGACGATGTCATGACGATGATGCTGTGGTGACAGTGATGATGTCGTGACAGTGACGATGCTGTGGTGACCATGACGATACCGTGGTGACAATGACGCTGCCATGGTGACAATGCTGTGGTGACAATGACGACATTATGGTGACAATGATGATGCCGTGATGGCAATGCTATGGTGACAGTGATGATGTGGTGACAGTGACAATGCTGTGGTGACAATGATGGCACTGTGGTGACAATGACGATATTGTGGTGATGATGACAATGGTGTGGTGACAATGCTATGGTGGCAATGACAATGTGTTGACAACGATGATCCTGTGGTGACAATGCTGTGGTGACAATGTTGTGGTGACCATGACAATGCTGAGGTGACAATGCTGTGGTGGCAATGTCGAGTCCTGGCTCACCCCCTCCGTGTTCTCTCCTGGCCAAGCACCAAGGATGGGTTTTTCCGGGGCTTCTCCATTTCTGAGGATCTCCAGGTGTTGTCCCGCTCAGGAGGTGACAAAGGTGGCCCATGGCACACCCCGGACAGGACATGGTGGCACCAACGCCACCCTGGTTCTGCCTCACCCACCCAACCCTAAAAGGATCCCAAACCTTCCACATCGGATCCCAAATTCTTTAAAAGTTTGGGAATATTAAATCCCAGCAGGAAGTGACCCAAAATTCCGAGTCTTGTCCTGCCCTTTCAGAGCCAACAAGGCCGGTGTCACCAGTGTCACCTGGTGTCACCTGGTGTCACCTGTGGGTGCCAGGAGCTCTGGATCAGGGGCAGCCCTTCCCATGGGAAAAGCTTTTCCAACCAAACCAAAACCATCCCAGCCACGGCTGCTCCCGGCACATGGCGCTGGCGCAGGAGGTGACATTCCAGGTGGTGGCTTTGGGGACAAAGTGTCCTGGAGCATGCCGGGGTCACTCTGGCCTATCCCAGCAGATCCAAACTGGGAATACCGGGAGGAGATCCAGGGATGTCTCCCTGCCCCAGGGTGTCACCTGAGGTCCCCTCCCTCATCCCGAGCCAAGGCCATTCGGGGATCCTCTGGAATCGAGGCTCTGCCCATCTCCAGCAACGCCGGAATTTTGGGAATTCTGGGCTTTTACAAGCCCTTTTACCAGGATCCCACTCTGGTTTGGGATTCCCTGCTGGGAATCCTCTGGCTCCCGGTGACATCAGAACGTCCCTTTCCATGTCCCCATCCCTTCCATCCGTGTCCATCCAATCTCCCGGTTTTCCCCCGGAGCAGTTTCACCGATTTCGAGGATCAGCCCTTCTCCATCCTCTCTTCCTGCCTTCCCTGCAATCCCCAGGGCTCCATGCCCTGCTCATCCAGCCCCTGGAGCCTCCTGTTTTCCTGCACATCCTGTCCTCACCTCCCGCCGGAATCCGGCCTTTCCAGCCATCCCACAGAGTCCCACATTCCCTGTTTTTCCCTTTTGGGAAAGTCACGGCCTTTCATCTCCCGAGTTTTGGGATGTTAAAGGCTTGAAATGTTTCCTGGGAAGCCAGTGGGGAACGGAATTTTTAATGATGGCAGCCGCTCTCCTGCATTGTCCGAGTTCTCCTGGTTTTTTATGGAATTGCTGTGAATTCAGGGAATAATGGGAGCAGAGTTAGGTAAGAGGGGGTGACCCAGTTTGGGACGCGTTTTCCAGGCTCTGGAATTGTCCAGAGAAGGGAAGTGTCACCTGAATGTCCCTCAAGAGCTGCCAGGAGCCAGAGGTGGCCTGGAATCCCACAGGGATGGGGACAGGGAGGTGGCCTGGAATTCTGCAGGAATGGGGACACTGAGGTGACCTGGAGTTCCACATGGGAACACCGAGGTGTCCTGGAGACCCACAGGGATGGGACCCTGGAGTTCTGCAGGATGGGGACACTGAGGTGACCTGGAGTCCCCAGAAGGACAGGGAGGAGTCTTGGAATTCCACAAGGAACAGGGACACTGAGGTGACCTGGAGTTCCACAGGGATGGGGACAGGGAGGTGGCCTGGAGTCCCCAAAGGGGATGATGAGGTGTCCTGGAATCTGGGAATGGGGACACTGAGGTGGTCTGGAGTTCCAGAGGGACAGGGACATCGATGTTCCCACACCTGATGCCCCTCAGCCCTTCCAGCAGCTCTGGATCCATGGGATTGGTGGAGCAGCTGCCATTCAGGAATCATCCCGGAATTCCTCCCTCCCCACATTCATCCTGAATTCCCAGCAATTCCGTGCAAGCTCAGGGAATTCCCTGCTCCAGAGCAGTCCCCGGCGCCTTTCCCTGACCGATCCCTGTGGGAATGCTCCCTGGGAACCCCGGGAAGCCCCGATCCATGGATTTTTCCCGAGCTCTAACTGCGGCTCTGTCTCCCCCCAAGCCGGGCGTCCACGGAAGGACCTTTGAGCCGAGGGACTGGGAGAGAGCCCAAGGAATTCTGACAGTGGGAACGTCAGGTCACAGTTCAGGCCACTGACGGTGACAATCCCGGGACCAGGGACACCCGGGACGGTGACAATGGCAGCGGAGCAAGGGGACAACTCCCTTCATCCGTGGTGGCCCTTGGTGGCCGTGTCCAAGAGCAGCTTCCTCGTGTTTAACCCAAAACCCTGGAATTGTTGAGGTTGGAAAATCCCTCTGATCCCACCGGGTCCAACCATTGCCAGCACTGCCCTGTGTCCCCAAGTGCAACATCCACACGGCTTTTTAATCCCACCGGGAATTGGGGTTCCACCCCTTCCTTGGGCATCCCATTCCAGCGCTTCATCAACTTCTCGGGAAGGAATTTTCCCAAAAATCCAACTTCACCTCGAGGTGATCCCCTCTTGTTCCCCGCCCTGGCTGGAATTCCTGTCCAGGATTCCTGGAGCGGTGGCGGGATCCTGGAAAAGCCCGGGATCCTGGGAAAACCCCGCTGAGCCAGGAGCCGCGCGAGGCCGAGCGCGTTCCGCGTGTGACATCCGTGTCCCCAATAAAGCTGACGGTGACCGTGACAGGTGTGTGTGTGTCATTGGGGACACGGCCATTCCCAGCATTTTGGGAGCCACGTTCCACGCCCGGAGCCAGCTCCGGCTCTGGATTCACTGCTCCAATGCTCCAGGCAGCATTCCCGCAAAATTCCCGTGACATTCCGGTCCCGTGTCCCCACCCAGCCCTGCCAGGCTCCCGCCACCCATAATCCCAACTGGATCCATCTTCCCAACCTCTGGGACTCACCAGGAGCATCCCAAACATCCCAAAAGCCCTTTGTCTTTTCCAACCGATTGATCACGGTTTAATTCCCAGGAATTTGGGATGTGGAGGACCTGGGATTTATCCAAGTCATTCCCAGCTAGAGTTTTGTATTTTCCTCTGGAATTTGGAAGGAGGCTCCAAGCCCAGAGCTGTGGGAGCTTTGCCCATCCCAAGGGTTTTTCCAGTTAAATCCCAGCCACAGATTTCCAGCTTTTCCCAGAGTTTTCCTTGGCATTGATAAATCTCCAAGGCAGATTCCAGGAGAGTTCCAAGGTTTTGGGGCTGCGGAGCCAGGCCAGGGGGAGCTTTTCCAAAGGGCCCTGGCTCCTGGGGACTTCCAGGAACATCCCATTGGTCCTGGCTGGGGGCTCTGGATCTGATCTCAGGGAACCTTTGCCAAGGACTCCCAATGATTCCCCAGGAGAATCCCAAATGTCCCAGTTTGGGGCTCTGGATCCGATCTCAAGGGAGCTTTTCCAATGGGTTCAAGGGGACTCCCAGGAATACCCCAAACGTCCCAGTTTGGGGCTCCATATCCAAGCTCAGGAAAGATTTTCCAAGAGCTTCTGGCTCCTCAGAACTTCCAGGAACATCCCAAATGTCCCATTTTGGGGTTCTGGATCCAGATTTGGGGGAGCTTTTCCGAGGAGTTCTGGCCCCTGGGGACTTCCAGGAGCATCCCAAGTGTCCCAGTTTGGAGCTCTGGATCTGAGGGAAACTTTTCCAAGGGGTTTCTTTGTGTCTTTGCTCGTGCCTTTGTTTCTCTTTAACCCCAAAAAGGCTCCTGGGAAGCGGAATTCGAGCTTCCAAAGGGAGCATTTCCGGTGCTGCTCTGCAATTCCATGAATTCCTTTGTATTCCCACAGATCTGAGGGAGAAGGAGAAGAAACTTGAGCCCTTTGGGGTTTGAGTTCCTTTTAGGGTAAAGCTGCATCTTTTTCTCTGATCCTAAATGAATTCCGTGTCCCAGAAACGGTGTCACACCCCAGCAAAAGCTTGGAGAAACACCCCCTGTTTCCTTGTAGGCCTGGGGGTTTTCCTGGGGAAATTCCCATGGGAAGCAGGGATTTGGGATGAAAATTGAGAGAATTGGCTGTGGGGAGGGAAGGAGAAGGGGGATTGGGATGGCTGAGCGAGGGAGGGTGGGAATAGAGGGGCTCTGTGTGGCAGGGACAGGTGGGGATGAGGTGGCCACTTCTGGAGAGGAGGTGGCCAAGTTTGGGAAAGAGGAGATGGCCAGGTTTGGGAAGAGGTGACCAGGATTGGGAAGGAGGTGACAAGGATTGGGAAGGAGGTGGCCAGGATTGAGGAGGAGGTGGCCAAGTTTGGGAAGGAAGTGATCAGGATTGGGAAGGAGGTGGCCATGATTGGGGTAGGAAGTGACCAAGAATTAGGAGGAGGAGGAGGTGGCCCATTTGAAGAGGAGGTGGCCAGGACTGAGGAACGGGTGGCCAAGTTTGGAGAGAAGATGGCCACATTTGGGAAGGAAGTGGCCAGGACTGGAAAGGAGGTGGCAAAGTTTGGGAGTTAAGTGGCCAGGATTGATTGGGATGGAGATTCCAGGATTGGGATGGAGATTCCAGGATTGGGATGGAGATTCCAGGATTGGGAATGAGATGACAGGATTGGGAATGAGATGACCAGGGTTGGGATGGAGATGACCAGGGTTGGGATGGAGGTTGCAGGATTGGGATGGAGATGACCAGGGTTGGGAATGAGGTGGCCAGGACTGGGATGGAGGTGGCCACGCTGCCGATGGCCACAACCTCTGCATTCTCCACCCTGCCTCCCACCGGGCTCCATGGATTCCACTTCCCAGGGGAAGAGGCTTCTCCAGGGGTCCCCAGGCACAGTGGGATCTCCTGGATCCCCTCCCCTCTGGGTTTCCATGGAATTTCCCCAGGTTCTCGAAAGCTGGGGACCTTCCCCACCAGCAGAGCCTTGGGACAGCTCAGGGAGGTTGAGCCGTGGAAAACCGGGAATTCTGGGGGGCTGCACTGAGAGGACCCTTCCAGCCCTTGATCCCAGATGATCCCGGGGTGCCGCGGGATCTGGGAAGGGTTTGATGCCTACAAGGAGACAGGGTCCCAGCACGTGTCCGTCCCGGTGTCACCGTGTCCCCGCGTCACCGCTCCGCTGGCTTCTCCCATCCCAGCATCACCCATCACCCTCATCCCAAGGAAATGGGCTTTTTGGGAAATTTGGGACGGGCAGTGAGGGCTGCCTGGAGCTCCACGGGATGAGCTCCAGGTCCTGAAGGAGCCTCCAAGTGGGAAGTGTCCCCATGTTCCCATCAAACTGGGGTTTGTCACCTTTTCCTTGAGGTGGGAATCATGGGAAAAGGGTTTTTCCTTGGAGAAATCCAGAGGGATCCGTTCCAGGTGGAGTTCAGGGAAGGAGGGAGCTCCAGATGTTCTGCAGGATCTCTCACAGGAAGATATTGGCTTGGGAAGGCCCAGGGGCAACACTCGAGGAATTGGGAATTTTCCTATGGATTCCAGCCCAGAATTCCCTTTTCCTGCCAGGATCAGAGAAGGAAAAAAGGGAATTTTAGTTACGACATCCCTGACCCTGCCAGAGCTCCCTGCTGGAGCTTCCCAGATGCTGGGATTGCTCTGGATCGTCCCTGCTCCGGGACAGGCCAGGACAGAGCTCACGGGTAAATCCCAATCCCAAAACCGCTCCGGACAAATCCCAGCTGGAGCCTGAGACCCCCTTGGGTCTCCTCCCCATCCCTGCTCCGGCCTGGGCCCCTTGGGATGTTTTTCCCAAGGGATAACCATGTGTCCTTCCCAAAAATTCCCAAATCCACATTCCCAAATGTTCTGCTCCAATGGCAGCTCCCAACTTTCGGCATTCCCGAGTTGTCCCCACTCCTGGCACAGCTCTGGCATTTCCTGCCTGTTCCACTGCAGAAAGGGTTAAAACTGGGAATAATCCAGGGGTTTGGGGGCGTTCGGAGCCGCCATTCCAAACCTGGGAGCTCCTGCTCCTTATCCGGGTGGGATGAGGCCATTCCCTGCTTCCCAGCAGCACATCCCGGGAAACTTCCCCAGGTTATTCCCTCTGGGAATCCCCGGGAACATCCCGTGGCCTTTGGGGGTGGCCGATGGCACCGTCACTGTCACCAGCCCCGGGGGGACATGGAAAAACTTGGGAATTTTGTGTCGGCTGCTCGGTGTTGTTTTGGCTGTGGGGCATTTTTCTCATGCATTTGTTGTTTCCTTCCTTTCCCAAATCCCTGCCTTGCCCTCTTTCCAATATCTCTGCCTTTCCCAAATCCCCCTCCTTCCCAAATCCCTGCCTTCCCCACATTCCTCTTTCCCAAATCCCTGCATTTCCCATTTCCCTGTCTTTCCCAAATGCCTGTTTCTTCCCAAATCCCTCCTCCTCCCCCAATCCCTCCATTTCCCGTTTCCCTGTCTTTCCCAAATTCCTCTCTTTCACAAATCCCCGTTCCATCCCCAATCCCTGCCCTTCCCATTTGCCCGCCTTTCCCAAATTCCTCTTTCCCGTTCTCTGCCTTTCCCATTTGCCTGCCTTACCCAAATCCCTGCCTTACCCAAATCCCTGCCTTTCCCAAATTCCTCTCTTTCCCAAATCCCTGCCCTTCCTAAATCCCCACATTTCCCATTTCCCTGCCTTTCCCAAATTCTTCTTTCCCATTTCCCTGCCTTTCCCAAAGTCCTCTCTTTCCCAGTTCCCTGCTCCTTCCCCAATCCCTGCATTTCCCAAATCCCTCATCCCTTCCCAAATCCCTCTCCCCGTTCCCTGTTTTCCCAGCCCTCCCAGCAGCTCTGTCGCTGTCCAACCCTCCAGGCTTTGGCTGAATCCATGCAATTCCAACCGCCCCATTCCCGGCCGGCCACGCCCTCACCCATCCCATGGGAACCATCCCGATCTGCCCCCAATTCCCACCCCCTCCATTCCCCCATTCCCAATCCCCCCTCTCCCCAAACCCAGCTGGGGGTCTCCACTCAGGGAACACCAAGGCCGGATCGATTCCCGCGGTTCTCCCGGCCCCGAATCCCTCGGGATCGACGTCCGGTGGCTTCTTTTCCGTGTGGCGCTTCCCGGACCGGAGCTAACATTTCTCTCATTGCCTCTTTTCCTGCTTCCATGTGCATGTCCCGCTGCTCTGTCCTAGATCCGCCTCTGGCCTCCGGAGGGTGGGCGAGTTGTGTAAGTGAGCACGTTCCCATTCCATAGCTCCATCCCACGGGAATGTCCCATTCCTCACCTGTCTCTTCCCTGCCCCGGGCGGCCCCGCTCCCGCCGGTGTCCCCCAGGTTTTGGGAGGAGGCCGGAGGGAGCGGCGCCGGCGCCGGGATGTGCGCGTCCCTCGGGAGCATGGCCCTGTCCCTGTGCTGTGGTGGCGTGTCCGGCTCTTCCCGCTGGTGTTCCTGCTGAGGAAATTCCCGTCGGGATCCCGGGGCGTTGGGGCCGCGGGGTGGGAGATCCCGGAGCAGCTCAGTGCTCCGGGAAGGGTGGGAGAGACACCAGGAAAGGATCCCAGGAAAGGTGAAGGAGATTCCAAGAAAGGTGGAAAAGACCCCAGCAGGATGGAAAAGATCCTGGGAAGGGAGGGAAAGACACCAGGAAAGGTGGGAAAAGAAAAGGACACCAGGAAAGGTGGGAGAGACCCCAAGAAAGTGGGAAAGGATCCCAGGAAAGGTGAAGGAGATTCCAAGAAAGGTGGAAAAGACCCCAGAAGGATGGAAAAGGTCCCAGGAAGGTGGGAAAGACACCAGGAAAGGTGGGAAAAGAAAAGGACACCAGGAAAGGTGGGAGAGACCCCAAGAAAGTGGGAAAGGATCCCAGGAAAGGTGAAGGAGATTCCAAGAAAGGTGGAAAAGACCCCAGAAGGATGGAAAAGGTCCCAGGAAGGTGGGAAAGACACCAGGAAAGGTGGGAAAAGACACCAGGAAAGGTGGGAAAAGAAAAGGACACCAGGAAAGGTGGGAGAGACCCCAAGAAAGTGGGAAAGGATCCCAGGAAAGGTGAAGGAGATTCCAAGAAAGGTGGAAAAGACCCCAGCAGGATGGAAAAGGTCCCAGGAAGGAGGGAAAGACACCAGGAAAGGGGGGAAAAGAAAAGGACACCAGGAAAGGTGGGAGAGACCCCAAGAAAAGTGGGAAAAGATCCCAGGAAGGGAGGGAAAGACACCAGGAAAGATGGGAAAAGACCACAGGAAGGGTAGGGAAGAACACCAGGAAAGGTGGGAAAGGATCCCAGGAAGGGTGGGAGAGGTCTCAAGGATGTTGGAAGAGACTCCAAGAAAAGTGGGAGAGATCCCAGATAAAGTGGGGAGAGAGCCCAGGAAAGGTGGGAAAAGGACCCTAGGAAAGGTGGGAGAGATTTCGAGAAAGGTGGGAAAGGATCCCAGAAAAGAAACCAGGAAAGGTAGGAGAACCCCAGGAAGGTTGAGAGATGTCCCAGGAAGGGTGGGAGAGAATTCAGGAAGGGTGGAAAAGATCCCAGGAAGGGGAAAAGGACCCCAGGAAAAGTGGGAAAGACCCCAGGAAAAGTGGGAAAGGACCTCAGGAATGGTGAGAAAGACCCCAGGAATGGTGGGAGAGATTCTGGGAAAGGTGGAGAAGACCCCGGGAAGGACATTGGGAAGGGGGGCAGAGCATCCCCGTTCCAGGCCCAGCAAACCATGGATGCACCAGGATCCATCCGTGGTTCCCCAGGGTGGGGGGTCCCAGGTCCCCCTCTGGAGCAAGAATTCCATGAGACAGAGGAGGGAGCTCCTGGGATCCTGCTCCATCCCAGTCCCCCAGGGAAGTCACCCGAGGCCACAGCAGGAAAACCGGGATGCAGGGATTCCAGCACATCCCAGTGGAATGGTTCCAGCACATCCCAGTGGCTTCCAGAAGCTCTGGAAGGACTCCCCGGGCTGGCATGGGGCAGCAGCGGGATCCCGGGAAAAGCTGTTCCCACTCCAGCTCCCTTGGGCTGGAAGATCCGTGGGGTTGGGAGGGCCGGAGAATTCCCCCTGGGAATTTCCCAGCGTGCATGGCCGGCTCTGTGCTCCTGGTTGTGCTTCCTCCGTGTTGTCCCCGTGTCCCGTCCTCGTGTCCCGTTCCGTGTGCGGAGCTCCGGCTCCATCCGTGTCCCGGCTCCCGGAGCCGTTCCCGGTTGATTTTTCCTTGTCCTTTTCTGCCAAGCGCTGAATTCCCGAGGCCGCGGCCCCGTCCCGGGAGAGCGGCGCCGGATCCCGACGCCGCGGGAATGCCGGGGGCCGCGTTCCCGCTTTCCCGACGGCTGCTGGATGCCATTCCCGGGGATTTGCTCTGCTCCCGGGTGGGGCGGAGGCGTGGGATGCTCGGAAGCTCCCGGCCTGCTCCGGATCTTTCCGGGAACACCCGGAGCGGGGTCGTTCCGGAGGCTCCTCTCGGCCGTGGGGGGCTCATCCCATCGGATCCAGCTGTGGATTCATTCCCTCAGTCCTGGCACTGGTGTCACGGATATTTGGGATATTTGGGGGACACCAGCAGGGAACCGTCCCCTCTGTTGGTGCAGGGGGCACTTGGGTCATCCTATGGATCATTCCGGGGCTTATTCCAGGACTCATCCCGAGATTCTTCCCTAGGCTCATCCCGAGGTTTATCCCAAGATTCCTCCCAATGCTCTTCCGTGGGCTCATCCCAAGGTTCCTCCCAGGGCTCATCCCAGGGCTCATCCCAAGGTTCCTCCCAGTGCTCTTCCCTGGTCTCATCCCAAGGCTCCTCCCAGGGCTCATCCCAATGCTCATCCCAGGGTTTATCCCAGGATTCCTCCCTAGGCTCATCCCAGGGCTCATCCTGAGGTTCTTCCCAGGGCTCATCCTGGGGCTCATCCCAAGGTTCCTCCCAGGGTTCATCCCGAGGTTCTTCCCAGGGCTCCTCCCAGGGCTCATCCCAGGGTTTATCACAAGATTCCTCCCAGTGCTCTTCCCTGGGCTCATCCCAAGGTTCCTCCCAAGATTCCTCCCAGGATTCCTCCCAGTGCTCTTCCCTGGGCTCATCCCAAGGTTCCTCCCAAGGTTCCTCCCTGGGCTCATCCCGCAGCTACCAGGTTCAGGACAGCAGGAATTCCGTGTCCTGCTCCTGGATCCTTTGGGATGGCCACGTCCCATCCACCGGAGTGACCGGGATCAGGAAAACTTCAGAACACACAAACAGTGTTTGATCCTTGCCCGGAATCCCTCCCCAGCTCCCAGTATTCCTGCCCGGCTCCCAGTTTCCCTACCCAGTTCCCAGAATCCCTGTCCAGTTCCCAGGAAAAGCCAGGGGTAGGGTTAGGGTGAGGACTGGGATCAGGATCAGGGTTGGGATTGGGGTCAGGATCAGAGTTAGGGTTGGGATCAGGGCCTGGATCAAGGTTAGGATTAGGATTGGGATCAGGATCCAGGTCAGGGTTAGGATCACCTCTGAACTGGGATCAGGATTAGGGTCAAGTTTAGGATCAGGGTTAAAGTTAGGGTCAGGTTTAGGGTTAGGGTTGGGTTAGGACCAGGATCAAAATCAGGATCAGGATCCAGGTCAATTTAGAGTCAGGGTTGGGGTCAGGGTCAGGGTCAGGGTCAGGATTAAGTTTAGGGTCAGATTCAGGGTTAAGATCAGAGTCAGAGGTTGGGGTCAGGGTCAGGATCAGGGTCAGGGTTAAGTTTAGGGTCAGATTCAGGGTTAAGATCAGAGTCAGCATCAGGGCCAGGGTTAGGACCGGGATGGGGGCAGAGTCAAGGCTGGGATCAGGGTCAGGGTTAGGACCGGGGTTGGGACAGAGTCAAGGCTGGGATCAGGTTTGCACTTGGGATCAGGGTCAGGATTAGGGGCAGAGTCAAGGCTGGGATCAGGGTCAGGGTTAGGACCGGGATTGGGACAGAGTCAAGGCTGGGATCAGGGTCAGGGTTAGGACCGGGATCAAGATCAGGGTTAGGATCAGGGTCAGGCTCAGGGCCAGGGCTATGTTTGGGATCAGCATTGGAGGAAGGTCCATCAAAAGGAAGGAAGATCCGTAGGATCCATTGGAAGGAAGATCTCAGGAAGATCCATGGGAGGGTCAGAGGAAGATCCATAGGAATGTTGGGAAAAATTCCTTGGGAATGTTGGAGAAACCTCCACTGGAATGTTGGAGAAAACCCCTCGGGAAGGTCAGAGGAGATCTGTAGGAGGTCACAGGAAGATCCACGAGGAGGTCAGGAAATGTCCATAGGAAATTCGGGAAGATCCATTGGGAGGTTGGATGGAAGATCCGTAGGAAGATTGGGAAAATGTCCACAGGAAGACTGGAAGAGGATTTGGAAGAAGATCCATAGGAAGGCTGGGAACCTTCCAACCACACCAATCTGGGGCGTGGTCACAGCCCCTTTGGAAGCTGCAGTGGGAATTGTGGGAGACAATTCCAAGGGTTTGAGGGCCACCATGGAACACCGGAGCAGCCTCACCAAGGAACAGGGAATGATCCAAACGATCCCAGGAGTGATCCCAGCCATCCCAGGAGTGATCCAAATGATCCCAGCCATCCCAGGAGTGATCCAAATGATCCCAGCCATCCCAGGAATGATCCCAGGCATCCCAGGAGTGATCCAAACAATCCCAGGAATTATTCCAGCCATCCCAGGAGTGATTCCAGCCATCCCAGGAGTGATCCAAACAATCCCAGGAGTGATCCCAGCCATCCCAGGAATTATCCCAGCCATCCCAGGAGTGATCCAAATAATCCCAGGAACGATCCAAACAATCCCAGGAGTGATCCCAGCCATCCCAGGAACGATTCCAGAGATCTCGGGAACAATCCAAATCATCCCAGGAATAATCTGAATAATTGCAGGAAAGATCCCAGCGATCCCAGGAACGATCCAAATGATCCCAGGACATCCAGCTTTTCCCTGTCAGAGCTTCCCGAAGGTGATTCCTTCTCTGCTGTGCCAGGGAAGCAGAAAAATGGGAATTATCGGGAATGTGGCTCAAAAACGGGAATTATCGGGAATGGGGCTCGTCTTGTGGATCTTCAGCCACGTTCAGCTCATCCCTTCGGAGCCATGGATTTATGGGATCCTTGGAGCTCATCAACATTCCCAAAACCAGGAGGTGGCAATCGAGGCAGTGGTGGATCCCAGCAGCATTCCAGAGTGTCCCGGTTTTCCAGGAGGGAGCTGAGATGGGAGGCCGAGCAGGGAAACTGAGGCACTGGGATGCGGGAAGTTTATGGGATAGTTCTGAGGACAAATGGAGTGGCAGGGCTGGGATGGGATGGGATGGGATGGGATGGGATGGGATGGGATGGGAGCTCAGAGCCCCCCCAGTGCCACCCTGCCAGGGCAGGGACACTGCCACTGTGCCAGGCTGCTCCAGCCCCAGTGTCCAGCCTGGCCCTGGGCACTGCAGGGATGCAGGGGCAGCCCCAGCTGCTCTGGCAATTCCAGCCCAGCCAGCAATTCCTCATGGCCAAGATCCCATCCACGGCTGCCCTCTGGCACTGGCAGCCATTCCCTGGCTCCTGTCCCTTGTCCCCAGTCCCTCTGCAGCTCTCCTGGAGCTTCTTCAGGCTCTGGAATGTTCTGGAAGCTCTCCCTGGAGCCTTCCCTTCTCCAGGAGAACATTCCCAGTTTTCCCAGCCTCTCCAGAGCAAGGACTCTGATTTTCTAGGATCCATCCAGGTGTCAGCTCCCTTTCCTTCCCCACTCCCTGTCCATCCCACGGGGACCATGGCAGGATGGGGACAACGCCAAGGGGACAGCGGCGCTTTGAGGAGCTCTGTCCCCATCCAAGATTCCCACGGTGGCACGGCCAGGGGGTCCCACCTGTCCCAGTGCCAAGGGGACACCGGCCTGGCCACCAGGTGACCGTCACCAGGGGTGTCCAGCGGGTCCCCCCATCCCGGGAAGATGCCGGAAGGTTCCCTCTCATCCCAGCTTTTCCCCGCTGGGTCGCTCCCATTCCATGCGGGATCAGCCCGGGGTGGGCACGGGGCACAAGGTGCTCGTCCCCAGCCCTGGGGACACTTCGGGGGGGGCGCAGAGCCGTGCCAGGAGTGCAGCACTGGCCGGGAACCCCCACCCAAGGAATCTTTGGGATACCCCCACCCCCGACCAACCCCCCCCCCAATCCCGCCGGATTTGCGCCCCCATTCCCAGACCTGTCCTCACCCCTCCCCTCTCCTCTCTTTTCTCCCCCGCCTCCCCCGCTCTCTCCGCAGACTTTTCAGTAGTTTAGGAGAGCTCAGCACCATCTCGCAGCGCAGCTCCGGCACCACCTTCACCGTGCGGCCCGGCAGCCGCTACCCCGTCACCCGCCGCACGCCCAGCCCCGTCAAACCCGCGGCGCTGGAGCGGCCCGAGCCCCTCAGCACCGTCCGGCCCTACGGCCTGACGCCCCCCACCATCCTCAAGTCCTCCAGCCTCTCCATCCCCCACGAGCCCAAGGAAGTCCGCTTCGTGGTCCGCAGCGTCAGCGCCCGCAGCCGCTCGCCGTCGCCGTCGCCGTCGCCGTCGCCGGGGCTGCACACGCTGCACCCGCCGCGGCCCTTCATGCAGAAGCCGCTGCACCTGTGGAACAAGTACGACGTGGGGGACTGGCTGGAGAGCATCAACCTGGTGGAGCACCGGGACAAGTTCGAGGACCACGAGATCGAGGGCACGCACCTGCCCGCGCTGACCAAGGAGGACTTCGTGGAGTTGGGGGTGACCCGCGTGGGGCACCGCATGAACATCGAGCGGGCGCTCAAGCAGCTGGTGGACAGCTGACCGCGGCCGGAGCCGGGCCGGCATTCCCAAGCCAAGAAAACCCACTCGGATCCTCCCGCTCCTTCTCCGAGCGCTGCACTGAGGGCGCGGGGCCGCCCCCGAGGCTCCCGCGCCGCCCCCGGCCCAGGAATGTTGCATGAAATTCCTCCTCGTTCCCGTTCTCCCGGAGAGGCTGCGACACCGCTCCGGCCCGGCGCTGGCACCGGGGACACGCGGGGACACGCCGCGGGGGTGGCACCTGCGGGGGTGGCACCTCCCGGGTGGCCCCGCCGGGCTCGGAGGTGGCCCAAGGTGCTGACGAGTCCCGGGTGGCCCTGCCGGGAGGTGGCCCCGGGTCCTGACACCCCCCAGGTGTCCCCGGCAGGGTCAGAGGTGGCCCCAGGTCCTGACACCCGCCCAGGGTGTCCCTGGCAAGGTCACAGTTGTCCCTGCCAGGCTTGGAGGTGGCCCAAGGTCCTGAACCCCCCCTGGTGTCCCTGCCAGGGGTGGCACCAGGTCCTGACACCCCTCAGGGTGTCCCTGGCAGGGTCAGAATTGTCCCTGCCAGGGGTGGCCCCGGGTCCTGAACCCCCCCAGGTGTCCCTGCCAGGGGTGGCCCCGGGTCCCCTCCAGGTGTCCCCCAGGTGTCCCCCAGGTGTCCCCGTCGGGCTCGGAGGCGGCGGCTCCAGCGGGGCCCTCCCGGCGGCGCTCCCGGAGAAAGGAAGCAAGGAGAGGATGAAGGAGAGGAGGAAGGAGAGGAGGAAGGAAGGGCCGGGAAGGCTCCAGCGGCGGCCGTGCCACCCCGAGCCGTGCCAGGCCGTGCCAGGCCGTGCCAGAAGAGCCCCCCCGCCAGGCGGACCCCCCCGGACTCTGAGCTGCTGCCCCGGCCGGGTGAGAGGGAGCGAGGAGCGCATGGATCGAAGCATGTTTGGGAATGTCGGGAGGCTGGGGGGGGGACGAATCCCGCAGCAAAAAAAAAGAAAAAACAAAAAAAAAGGAAAAAAAAAAAAGCCCTTCCGGCCCCCCCAAACCCCGCTCATCCCTCGTTTTGCATCTTTTTAAGCAGCTCTATATTTGGAAAGAGAGAATATCTATATATCTATATCTCCAGAGCTATAGCCACCTGATTTTTGTTAGGATTTTCCTAAAAAAATTCCTATCTCTGGACTGGAGGAGACGCTCCCGGGACGCCCGTGGCTCGCGGGAGTTTTTAAGCGACTGAATGAATGTGAAAAAGTCTTTTTAAACACACCACAAAACCCCCTCAAATCCCCCCCGCCCCCCCAAACAGCTCCTTTCAGACGCTCTGGATTTGTAAAGATTCAGAGAAATCACAACAACACACACACACAAACAAAAAACACAAACCAAACTTGCGTTTTGGGACACACCGAGTCTTCCAGGCACACAGCAGGGAGGTCCCCGGGGGTCGCGTCCCCAGTTTTGGGGGTCCCGGGGCTGGCGGTGGCCACGGGGGCGATGCCCGGGGTGGGGAGGGGGCACTGCCGGGACCCCGACCCCCCGGCCGTGTCCCCAGCGCCCCCCGCGTGTCCCCAGGGCGTGCCCGGCTGGCCGGGAGGGGAGGGCTCGGTGGTCCCAAAAGCCGAGACCCCCAGGAAGGCATTAAAAAAAAAAAAACAAAAAATAAAAAAAAAAACTCTTCTGGTGCTAAGAGGGGAGGACAGGGAGCTCCGTCCTGACCCTCAACATCTCCGAACCTTTCCGACCTTGCCAGGGAAAAGAGCCCGGAGCTCCCCCGGGGTGGCCCAGGGATGTCCCCTGTCCTGTGTCGGGGCACCGGCATGTCCCCGCGATGTCCCCTGCCCCGTGCCAGGGCTCTGGGAACTCTCTGGGATGTCCCCTGCCCTGTGTCGGGGTGGCAGGACCTCCCCGGGGTGTCCCCTGCCCTGTGCCAGGGCACCGGGGTGTCCCCGGGGTGTCCCCTGCCCTGTGCCAGGGCACCGGGGTGTCCCCGGGATGTCCCCTGCCCTGTGCCGGGGCTCTGGGAACTCTCTGGGATGTCCCCTGCCCTGTGCCAGGCACCGGGGTGTCCCCAGGAGGGTCCCCGGTGCCACCTCCCTGTCCCCGAGCCCCCACCCCGGTGGCGACACCCTCCGCTCTCCGGAAGCCACCGGGGGCGCGCGGCCTGTCCCCGTCCCCGGCTGCCACCCCGCTGTCCCATCCGGGAGCGGGGAAAGGTCCGGAGCCGGTGGGCGACGAGCCGGGGAAAAAAAAAAAAATCCCGGGAAAAAAATAAAAACAAAAAACAAAGCGGGAATGGCGGGCTCGGCGAGCCCGGGCACGGCCCGAGCCCTCCCCGCGCCACCGCGGTGCCACCGCGCCCGCCGGCTGTGCCCTGCCCAGCTCAGGTCCTGCCCTCGGTCGTGTCCCCAGAGCTGCCCTGCCAGCCCCGCTGTGGCACCAAGTGTCACCCCAATGCTCCGTGCCAGCCCCCCATGGTCACTGTCCCACCCCCCGTGCCCTCAGTGCAGCCCCGCCCTGTGCCCCCCACCGGGACCCCCAAATCCAGCCCAGCTGTGCCCCAAATCCAGCCCGACCTTGTACCCCAAATCCAGCCCAAACTTGTACCCCAAATCCATCCCAGCTGTACCCCAAATCCAGCCCAACCTTATCCCCCAAATCCATCCCACCCTAACCCAAATCCAGCCCAGCTGTGCCCCAAATCCAGCCCAACCTTTGCCCCCCAAATCCATCCCACCTTTATCCCCCAAATGCAGCCCAGCCCTACTCCAAATCCAGCCCACCCTTGTCTCCCAAATCCACCCCACCTATGCCCCAAATCAATCCCACCCGTGCCCCCAAATCATCCCGCCTGTGCCCCAAATCCAGCCCACCCTTATCCCCCAAATCCATCCCACCTTTATCCCCAAATCCACCCGATCCTTATCCACCAAATTCACCTCACCTGTGCCCCCAAATCCAGCTCCACCCTGTGCAATCTCCCCAAAATCCATCCCAACCTTGTGTCCCCAAATCCATCCCACCCTTATCCCAAATCCATCCCCACGCCCCTCACCGCCCGGTGCCACCCTGGCTCTGTGTCCCCTCTGTGCCGGCATTCCCGGGACACTCTGGGCACAGGGACAGGCTGGCAGCCCCCACCCCAAATCCGATCCCAAATCCCACCCCAAATCCCACCCCAGACAATCCCGTGCCCCCGTCCTGTGCCTCCCCTGCCCCCTCCGCTCCGTGTCCCCTCTGTCCCTCTGTCCCTCCGCCACCTCCCGGTGCTGTCCCGAGCCCCGCCGCGCATCCCGGGGAGCTCCCGGTGCCTCCGCGTCCCGCCGGGAATGTCGCACGGGGGAATGTCGGAATGTCGCACGCGGGAATGTCGCACGCGGAATGTCGCACGGCGGGAATGTCGCACGCGGGAATGTCGGAATGTCGCACGGGGAATGTCGCGTGCCGGAATGTCGCACGGTGCCGTGGCGCGGGCTCCTTCCCCCGCTGCGGGACTGCGGAATTCCCGGGAATTCCTCTGGCTGTCCCTTCCCGGGCCGCTCTCCTGGGGCTCCCCCTGGGGTCGCGCCCGCCGCTGTTTTGGCCGCGCCACCCCTGGCACGTGGCTGTGCCCGCCTTGGGGACACGGGGGTCCCCCGGGGGCCCCTCGCGAGCGCTCGGCTTGCACGGCCCCGCACGGCCCGGCACGGCCCCGCACGGCCACCGCTGCTCCCGGCTGGGCCACCCTGGTCCCCTTGGTGCTGGCCCTTGGCACGTCGTGGCACTGCCCAGACTGGCACTGCCCATCCTGACCCCAGACTGGCACTGCCACCCTGCCTGACCACCCTGACCACCCCAGCCTGGCACTGCCACCCTGCCTGGCATTGACCACCCCAGCCTGGCACTGCCCACCCTGCCCGACCACCCTGCCTGGCCGCACTGCCCACCCTGGCACTGCCCAGCCTGACCTCAGCCTGGCACTGCCACCCTGCCTGGCATTGACCACCCCAGCCTGGCACTGCCCACTCTGCCTGACCACCCTGCCTGGCCGCACTGCCCACCCTGGCACTGCCCAGCCTGACCCCAGCCTGGCATTGACCACCCTGCCTGGCATTGACCACCCCAGCCTGGCACTGCCCACTCTGCCTGACCACCCTGCCTGGCCGCACTGCCCACCCTGGCACTGCCCAGCCTGACCTCAGCCTGGCACTGCCACCCTGCCTGGCACTGACCACCCTGCCTGGCACTGACCACCCTGACCGCTCTGCCTGGCACTGCCCACTCTGCTTGGCTGCCCTGCCCACCCTGCCTGGCACTGCCCACCCTGCCTGGCATTGCCCTCCCCCCCCGTCCCTCCCTGCCCTCCCTCCCCGCTCCCCGCAGCCCCCGGCAGCCCCCGGCGCTCTCGGTGCCCCCGGGGTGGCACCGGTGTCCCGGTGTCCCCCGCGTTGTCCCCCGGGGCTCCACGGGCGCGGGTGGAAGGTGACCGTGGTGGCCTGAGCGCGGGCAGCCCGGCGCCGTGCCGCCGGGTGCCCCCGGGTCTCCGCCCCTTCCGCAGCTGTTTTTTGGGGCACCCCGAGACGGAGACCCCCGCCCGCGGCCGCCTCTCGCCGCGAGAGGCCGACCCCGCGGAGCGCACCCGCTCCGCCCAAGCTCGCTCTGGGACCGGAGAGCTGCGCGCCTTCTCGCCATTTCCGAGGAGCCTTCCTCCCCCTCCCTCCTCCTCCTCTTCCTCCTCGGCGCCCCCCGAGGGCGGAAATGGCGGTGCCCGCTCCGCGCCCGCGGAGCCGCGGCCGAGGCCGCCGGCACGCCCAGCTCCCGCTGAAGCAGCTGCAGCCGTACCTGTGTTGGCGAACACTGAGTGTCACCCGCGCCGCGGGGACACCACGGCTCGTCCCAGTCAGGCCCCACGCCAGAGAAGGCGACTTCCACCCGCGCGGCCCGTCCCGCGAGCGCCCGGGGCTGCCGCCAAGCTGCCCGCTGCGTCCCCGCAGCCTCCTCGTCCTGCTGTCCCCGTCCCGTTCATCCCTGTACCCTGTCCCGTTTGTCCCTGTCCCGGTTATCCCTGTCCCCTGTCCCGTTTATTCCTGTCCCATTTGTCCCTGTCCCCTGTCCCATTCATCCCTGTCCCGTTTATCCCTGTCCCGTTCGTCCCTGTCCCATTTTTCCCTGTCCCCTGTCCCGTTTATCCCTGTCCCGTTTGTCCCTGTCCCCCTGTCCCATTTATCCCTGTCCCGTTTGTCCCTGTCCCCAGCCCCTCTCATCCTTTGTCCGTTTATCCCTGTCCCGTTTGTCCCTGTCCCGGTTATCCCTGTCCCCTGTCCCGTTTATCCCTGTCCCGTTTGTCCCTGTCCCGGTTATCCCTGTCCCCTGTCCCGTTTATCCCTGTCCCGTTTGTCCCTGTCCCCCTGTCCCATTTATCCCTGTCCCGTTTGTCCCTGTCCCCAGCCCCTCTCATCCTTTGTCGCCTGTGCCACTCATCCTGTCCCTGCCCCGCTCATCCCCATTCCGTTCATCCCTGTCCCCTGTCCCGTTTGTCCCTGTCTCCTGTCCCATTTATCCCTGTACCTTGTGTCACTCATCCCTGTCCCCTGTCCCGTTTGTCCCTGTCCCCTGTGCCATTTATCCCTGTACCTTGTGTCACTCATCCCTGCCGCCAAGCTGCCCGCTGCGTCCCCGCAGCCTCCTCGTCCTGCTGTCCCCGTCCCGTTCATCCCTGTACCCTGTCCCGTTTGTCCCTGTCCCGGTTATCCCTGTCCCCTGTCCCGTTTATTCCTGTCCCATTTGTCCCTGTCCCCTGTCCCATTCATCCCTGTCCCCTGTCCCGTTTATTCCTGTCCCATTTGTCCCTGTCCCCTGTCCCATTCATCCCTGTCCCGTTTATCCCTGTCCCGTTCGTCCCTGTCCCATTTTTCCCTGTCCCCTGTCCCGTTTATCCCTGTCCCGTTTGTCCCTGTCCCCCTGTCCCATTTATCCCTGTCCCGTTTGTCCCTGTCCCCAGCCCCTCTCATCCTTTGTCCCCTGTGTCACTCATCCTGTCCCTGCCCCACTCATCCCCATTCCGTTCATCCCTGTCGCCTGCCCCACTCATCCTTGCCTCCGTGCCATCCATCCCTGTCCCCTTCATCCCTGTCCCCTGTGCCACTCGTCCCTGTCTCCTGTTCAGGTCATCCCTGTCACCCGCCCGCTCATTCTTGTGTCCCGCTCCACTCATCCTGTCCCCTACCCTCGTCATTTCTGTCCCCCGTCCTGTCCATTTCTGTCCCCTGTCCTCCCCGTCTCTGTCCCCCGCCCTGCCCATCCCTGTCCCCTGCGCTGCCACCCCTGTCCCCTGCCCTGCTCTCCCTTGTCCCTTGCATTGCCCATCCCTGTATCCCTGTCCCCCTCATTTCCCACCCCTGTCCCCTGTCCTGCCCATCCCTGTCCCCCTCATTTACCACCTCTGTCCCCTGTCCTGCTCATCCCTGTCCCCAGCCCACTCCTGTCCCCCTCATTTCCCATCCCTGTCCCCTGTCCCCTGTCCTGCCCACCCCTGACCCCTGCCCACCCCTGTCCCCTGTCCCCCCCTGTCCCCTGCGCTGCCACGGGGATGTGGCGGAGCAGGACAAGGGACTTCCAAAAGGCCATCAGGGTCCCCGGGCGAACCGGCTTCGCCTGGGGCGGCCCCTCCAGCTGCCAGCACAGCCCCCCGGTGTCCCCGCCGTGTCCCCGGGTGTCCCTCTGCACCCCCAGCCTGTCCCCGCCGTGCCACCGGCTCCGGGGTGGCCCCGTGCCCGCAGCCAGGGTCACCCACCCGGTGTCGCGGTGCCACCACGGGACCCCGCGGTGCCGTGGCCGTTCCCAAAGCGCTGCCGTCCCCTCCCCGCGGGGACAGCGATTCCCGGTGTCCCCAGCTCCTGTCCCCGCTCCGGCCACCTCCAGAGCCTTTGGAAAAGCCATCCGGGAGAAGGCAGAGCGGGAGCCCAGCTGACCCCTGACCCCGGCCCGGGGCCTCGGCCGCGCTGACCCCCGGGTCACACTGACCCCCGGGTCACACTGACCCCGGGTCACACTGACCCCCGGGTCACACCGGGTCACGCTGACCCCTCGGCCACACTGACCCCTGGGTCACACTGACCCCTCGGCCACACTGACTCCTGGATCACACTGACCCCTCAGCCACCTTGACCCCTGGGTCACACTGACCCCTCAGCCATCCCGACCCCTCGGCCACACTCCACACTGACGCCTTGGCCACGCCAATCCCGGGGTCACACTGACCCCTTGGCCATGCCAACCCTTTGGCCGTGCCAACCCCTCGGCCTTGCCAACCCTTTGGCCGTGCCAATCCCTTGGCCATGCCGTGGCCACGCCAACCCATTGGCCAGGCTGGCCCCTTGACCACACTGACCCCTTGGCCATGCCAAGCCATTGGCCGTGCCAAACCCTCGGTCAGCCCTCAGCCACACTGACCCCTCAGCCACACTGACCCCTAAGCTGTGCTGACCCTTTGAGCACCCTTGGCCATGCCAAGCCCTTGGCCACGCCAGCCCATCAGCCATGCTGAGCCCTCGGCCGTGCTGACCCCTTGGCCACGCCAGTCCATTGGCTGTGCCAAGTCCTTGACCACGCCTCAGCCCTTCGGCCATGCCAGTCCTTCGGCCATGCCAGCCCCTCGGCCGTGCCGACCCCTTGACCACCCCTTGGCCCTTTGGCCATGCCAACCCGTCGGCCATGTTGATCCCTTGGCCATGCCAACCCGTCGGCCATGTTGATCCCTTGGCCATGCCAACCTGTCGGCCATGTTGATCCTTTGGCCATGCCAACCCCTCGGCCGTGCCGACCCTTTGACCGCCCCTTGGCCACGCCAACCCCTTGGCCATGCCAATCCATTGGCCGTGTTGACCACTTGGCCATGCCAACCCATCGGCCATGCCAAGCCCTTGACCACCCCTTGACCACACCAACCCCTTGGCCATGCCAACCCCTTGGCCATGCAAACCCCTTGCCATGCCAGCCCCTTGGCCACACCAACACCTTGGCCATGCCAACCCCTTGGCCATGCCAAACCTTGGCCATGCAAACCCCTTGGCCATGCCAGCCCCTTGGCCACACCAACACCTTGGCCATGCCAACCCCTTGGCCATGCCAACCCCTTGGCCGTGCCAAGCCCTTGGCCGCCCCTCGGCCACGCCAACCCCTTGGCCGTGCTGACCCTTTGAGCACCGCTTGGCCTCTTGGCCACGCCGACCCCTTGACTGGGATTCGGCCACGCCAACCCCTCGGCCGTGCCGTCCCCGGCCACGCCGCCCCCGGGCCGCGCCGCCCCGGGCCGCGGCGGTTACTGTGATTCCTCTCATGGCTTCTCCACCACTCGGGTTTTTCCGCTGTACAAAGGGAGACACTTTTCCTTTTCTTTTCCCCCCGCTTCCAAAGGGGATTTTTCCCCCCCAAGCTGTCGATATTTTTTCCGCTGTCCCGCCCGGCGCCATCGCCCCCCTCCATCCGCCCGTCCGTACCCCCGAGTGTGACGAAGAGCAGAACCCCCCGGGGTCACTCAGCCCCCCGGGGGGACGATGGCCCTGCCAGCCCCACGCGCGGCGGGGCCGCTGTCCGGCCACGCCCTCACTGCCCATGCATGTGCCACGCCCTCACGCCCGCTGCATGTGCACAGCCCGGCCCCGCCACACTCTCGGTTCCGCCCCCAGCCGGACTCACCTGTGGGTTTTCGTTCCGTTTTTAATTTCCCAGGGTCAGTTTGACTTCACCCTTAATTTTGTATGGATTTTCGGAGGAGCTTTCTCCTTCTCCGGAGTCACGGAGGTGCGGCCATTCGCCTCCCGCCCTTGACGTTGTGATACACATCCCCCACAGAGATCTATGTTTCTTATATTATATTATTATTATTAATTATTATTATTATTATGTAATAAATTTATAAGAAAGCTCTGCCTCGTCCTGTGGTCGCTCGGATCCCGCGGTGGTCCCGGACCCACACAAGGGGGGACAACGGGAGCCCCCCAGGGACAGAGCCCAGTGGGTGAAGTTTGGGGTGTCCCCGTTGAATTTTGGGATGTTCCTAGCTGGAATTTGGGGTGTTCCCATTGAATTTTGGGATGTTCCTGGCTGGAATTTGGGGTGTTCCCATTGAATTTTGGGGTGTCCCCATTGAAGTTTGGGAGGTTCCTGGCTGAAATTTGGGGTGTCCCGTTGAATTTTGGGGTGTTCACAGCTGAACTTTGGGATGTTCCCGCCTGAAATTTGAGGTGCCCTGGATGAATTTTGGGGCATCCCTGAGATTTGGGTTATTCCCACTTGAATTTTGGGGTGTCCCCATTGAATTTTGGGATGTTCCTAGCTGAAATTTGGGGTGTCCCCGTTGAATTTTGTGGTGTTTGCAGCTGAACTTTGGGATGTTCTCGGCTGAAGTTTGAGGTGCCCTGGATGAGTTTTGGGATGTCCCTGAGTGAGATTTGGGGTATTCCCACTTGAATTTTGGGGTGTTCCTGGATGAGTTTTGGGATATCCCTTAGTGAGATGTGGGGTGTTCCCGGCTGAATTCTGGGGTGTCCCAGATTGAACTTTGGGATATTCCCAGCTTAAATGTGAGATGTCCCGGATGAATTTTGGGGTGTCCTTGGCTGAATTTTGGGGTGTCCCAGGTTGAGTTCTGGGGTGTTCCCGGTTGAAATTTGAGATGCCCCAAATGAAATTTTGGGGTGGACCCTGGGTTGAGTTTTGGGGTGTCCTTGGCTGAATTTTGGGTGCCCCTGAGTGAGATTTGGGGTGTTCCTGGATGAGTTTTGGGGTGTCCCGGGTTGAGTTTTGGGGTGTTCCCGGCTGAAATTTGAGATGCCCCAGATGAATTTTGGGGTGTCCTGGGTTGAGTTTTGGGGTGACCCTGAGTGAGATTTGGGGTGTTCCTGGATGAGGTTTAGGATGTCCTGGCTGAATTTTGAGGTGCCCCCGTTTAATTTTGGGATACTCCCAGCTGAAATTTGAGGTGCCCATCAAATTTTGGGGTGGATGAATTTTGGGTGGGATGGATTTTGGGGTGTCCCTGGATGAGTTTTGGGGTGTTCCTGGATGAGATATGGGATGTCCCTGGGTGAATTTTGGGGTTCTCCTGGATAAGTTTTGGGGTGTCCCTGGGTGAATTTTGGGGTGCTCCTGGATGAGTTTTGGGGTGTTCCTGGATGAGATATGGGATGTCCCTGGGTGAATTTTGGGCTTTCTTGACTGAATTTTGGGGTGTTCCTGGATGAGTTTTGGGATGTCCCTGGGTGAGTTTTGGGGTGTCCCTGGGTGAATTTTGGGGTGTCCCTGGTTGAGTTTTGGGATACTCCTGGATGAGTTTTGGGGTGTTCCCGGATGAGATTTGGGGTGTCCCTGGGTGAGTTTTGGGGTGCCCCTGGATGAGTTTTGGGGTGTCCCTGGATGAGTTTTGGGGTGTCCCTGGGTGAATTTTGGGCTTTCTTGACTGAATTTTGGGGTGTTCCTGGATGAGTTTTGGGATGTCCCTGGGTGAGTTTTGGGGTTCTCCTGGATGAGTTTTGGGGTGTCCCTGGATGAGTTTTGGGGTGTCCCTGGGTGAGATTTGGGGTGTCCCTGGGTGAATTTTGGGCTTTCTTGACTGAATTTTGGGGTGTTCCTGGATGAGTTTTGGGGTGTTCCCGGATGAGATTTGGGGTGTCCCTGGGTGAGTTTTGGGGTGCCCCTGGGTGAGATTTGGGGTGCCCTGGCTCCCACAGGTGCCACACCAATGGCACGGTGCCACTGTCCCGTGTCACACCCCCAGCAGGTCCCGGCCACCCGCTGGTGTCCCCAGCGCCAGGACGGGGGGGGACCCTCGTGGCCAAGGGACAAAGGGACAGGGAAGGGGCTGGGGGTCCCCACTTTTCCGGGTGTCCCCAATCACCTGGGTGTCCATCCCGGATGTCCCCAGCGGTGTCCCCAGCATTGTCCCAGCAGTGTCCCCAACACTGACCCCAACTACTGTCACAGCACTGTCCCCAGCAGTGTCCCCACCCTGTCCTACCCCTGTCCCCAGCATTGTCCCAGCAGTGTCCCCAGCAGCGTCCCCAACACTGAGCCTTCCAGTGTCCCCAACACTGTCCCCACCACTGATCTTAGCACTGTCCCCACTCTGTCCCCCCCCTGTCCCCAGCAGTGTCCCCAGCAGCGTCCTCAACACTGAGCCTTCCAGCGTCCCCAACACTGTCCCCAACACTGAGCTTAGCACTGTCCCCACCCCTGTCCCCCCCCCGTCCCCAGCAGTGTCCCCACCCCTGTCCCCATCCTGTCCCCAGCAGTCTC